ACTTGCTCTGCCCATGGTCACAATGGTCTTCCCTCCCTTCAAGGCCCAGTTAACTCCTAATCATCCTTCAGCAATCAGATGATACACCCCTTCCTCAAGGAAGCCTTCCCTAAAGTCCTTACTAATGCTCCAGTGAGAGGCCCCCCGCCAGGCTATTAGCCATGGTAGCAGGGATGAGCAAGCGCCAAGGTCCTGAGGAGAAAGAGATACTGCAATTGGCCCTTTTAAAAATGCAATTCAAGAAAGACAGTGTAAAAAAAAAGAAAGAAAAAGAAAGCCAGTGTGGCCCTGGCCGGCGTGACTCAGTTGGTGGTTGTCCCCGTGCAGCAAAAGGCTGCCAATTCGATTCCTCAGGGCATATGCGGGTGTTGTGGCTCAGTTCCCAGTGGAGTGTGTGTGATGTTCTGCTCTCACATCGATGCTTCTCTCGCTCTCTCTCCCTCTGCCTTCCTCTCTCTCTAAAAAATCAATAAAAAATCTTAAAAGAAACCCAGTTTGGCAGAAAACTAGGCATGGGAAAGAATGGAGCATGAAGGAAGAACGGTGAGCACAAGCCAGATGCAGCAGGGCACCTGTGACTTCCCTTTGGGTTACAAAACTGGTGAGTGCAAGAGAGGGAATCTGACTCCAGGCAGCAAAATGCCACAGAGAGAACCAGGGAACCAGGGGCAGACTTCCCTCTAGAGCAGCGGTTCTCAACCTTGGCCGCACAGTAGAATCACCTGGGAATCTTGTTAAAATCCTGATTTCTGGGCCTCGTCCATCGGAAATTCTGTTTCTTTGTTACTAATGATGAGTCCCAGAAATCAGGATTTTAACAAGATTCCCAGGTGATTCTACTGTGCGGCCAAGGTTGAGAACCGCTGCTCTAGACGTTCAGCTCTGGGGCCAACATTCACTTTAGCACCTCGTCTGTCAGACACCGGGTTTCAAACAGTTTCCATCTGTTAAAAGAATAACCTGGTTAATCTGTTACCTATCAGAATCTTAACAAACCCATTTTTACAGCGAGGCAGATTGCCTACATTCAAAGTCCAAGCATTTAACTCTCTACCACGACTCTCGACTGCCTGGCCTCTCCACTGTTCTGACGGGCACTGGGGACATTTGGGTGGATGAGTCATATTATAGTAAATAACCGTGATTGCGGCGTATAAAATACACCATGGGGAACGGCCACAATAAAAATAACGACATCTAACGTGCACCAGACGCTTATCGAGTGCCACACAGAACTTTCTGTTATTATTCCCGTTTTACAGATGGAGAAACTGAGGCCAAAACTTGCCGAGGAACGTGTCCTAGGCAAGGCGAGGACACCAAACCCAACTGTAGAGCCCACGCTACTGTGAACTGCTTCGCCGCCTTACTCTTCTCGCAGGGAAGTTAGGTCGCGGCCAGCGAGTCTCCAGGACCCGACTCCCCCAGCGGGCACCCGCGTCTCCATAGCGCCCGAGGAAGCCTTTCCGCCCCGACTGTGCGGACCTTATTTTGGTCCCGACCCCGACTGCGGCCCCGATGGGGTCCGGCTGGAGGTGCGCGCAACCACACCAAAGGTTCCCCCGGCGGAAGGTTCCGCAGCCCGAAGCCATCCCCTCCCCGAGTACCTTCGGGAAACGCGTCCAGGGTCCTGCCCCGGGCTCTGTGGAAAACACCCCCCGCCTCCGCTGCGGACATGGCGAGAGAGTTCCTGGTCCCACCAGAGTGCACTGCGTGGGAGGGAGCGGCGCGACTTCTCACCCCCCAACTGCCGGCTGGGCCAGGCCCGCTGGGGGCGGAGCCTTCTACTCGGGGCGGGGCGGGGCGGGGCGGCGGGCGGCTCGCGGGCCTGGACAGCTCGGGGCGCCGCTAGTGCTGCCTGGGCGGGCAGATGCTTGAGCGGCCCCTCTGGGATCGACTGGGGCGCCTGACGAGCGGAGGCCCCCAGGCCGGGGCCCAAGTGCGGAGAGGGGTGTGTTTGGGCTCAGGCTGGGAGCCTGCAGGTAGGGTTGTCAGGTTTCACGAATAAAAGTACGGAATGCCCAGAGAGGCGACGATAAGCTTGTCCCATGCACCATTTGGCAGACAGCCCTCTAAGCAGCTGGAATCCATAACAATCAAGCAGCAGGCGTCTTCGGCTTCCCTGTCATCATCGCCGTCCCGGTATGATCAGCATCGCTCACTCCACGTCAGACACTGCGCTGAGCACTTGGGGAGAGCTCACTTCATGCACACAGCAGCCGTAGGCGATGGTGCTGCAGCATCTCCCTCATTTGTCGGAAGGGGAAACTGATGCTCAGAACGGCGAGGCCGTTTGCAGAAGCGGACAGGCATCTGGAAAAGCAGCAAAGCTGCATCTGACCCAAAGGAGGGTCTGCCCAGCAAACACCGTTGAACTGACCTGCACAAGCCAGTGTTGGTCAAACTTGTTAAAATACAAATTCCAGGGTGGACCTCGTGAAGCGGAATCTTCAGGAGCAGGGTCTGTTTTTAACTCCCCGGAAGAGTCTTTAGGTTCTGCTAAGTTTGAGGAATTCTGTTCTTACCTGGCTGCCTGCTTCTGAAGCACTGTTTGGGTGGCTAAAATGACTAGGAACACTGTCCTCCAATCTTAGGCAAGAGGTAGTAAATCATAGTGGTTAGGGGTTCAGAGGAGTCACCCCAAGATGTGCCTCTATGGTATGTCCTTAATTTCAAATGCATAAGAGACACTGCAAAAACGGTTATTCTCCAGAGTATTTGAGCTCTTGCTCTCTGGCATACGTCATCTAAAAATTCTCTACAGGTTTGTTCCTTACCTCCACACTCCCCCACATTAAGAATATTAAGCGCCTAGGAGTTCTGAAGCCAGGCTGCCTGTTACCACTTGCTGGCACTTTGATCTTGAAAATTACTTAGTTTCTAAAGTTACTCAATTTCTCATCTCCCAGTACAGGGAGGCTTAAATGGCTTGGTGCATCAAAGTGCTTAAATACAATAGTTCTAATAGCAAATATAATCCACGAGTATGAGCCATTATCGTTGGCATTATTGTTAATCACTATATCCCTATTCCCTGGGTATGGCCTGGCCCAGTGGAGGATTCTTAGGAAATGTTTAAGGAGGAAATGAATACTGTAAATGAGAATCAGAAGTCCTAATGGTGGCCTCCAGGCCCTGCAAAATCCAGCCCATTCCTACCTCTCACCCATTAACTTGGCAGCCACATGTCCTCTTTCAGTTCCTTAAACATGCAAATCTATTTGCCCCTTTGCCTGTGTGCTTCCTTCTGCCTAGAGTCTGTATCTGCTCATTTGAACATCAGTGCCTCTGCTTAAGTCACACTGGCATGGAAAGGTCTTACCGAAACACTTGCACACTCTTCTGATCTAAACTGTCTCCCTCCTTCTTTTCACAGCACTCTGCTCTTGTCCCTCAGCCCTTTGCACAGTTGGTAATGATATGTATGGATGAAAAGGGGGGTTCTATGGAAGTAATCTCACAGGGTGATCTGATCATAAATTCCTGACAGGGTAGGTCATGATGGGCAGTCATGCCCACGCATATAATTTCTTTTTTTTCAAAAATGCTTTTACTGATTTTTAGAGAGAGAGAAACATCAACATCGATCTGTTGCCTCCTGCATGCCCCCTGGCTGGGGATTAAGTCCGAAACCCGGGCACCTGCCCTGACCAGGAATCGAACCTGCAACCTCTTGGTGCATGTGTTGATGCTTAACCGTTGAGCAACACCTGCTGAGCTATTATTCCTCTAGTAAAAGGTTTGAAGCCAGCCCTGTCCATTGCTCTTGTGCATCTAGGTTAACACACCTTTGAAGACCAGACATATCCCTCAAAGGGGGCAGTAACCCTCAGAGAGCACATAATCTTGTGCCTTGTTTTCTCCCACCTCCAGGTAATCTTCCTTAGTTCCTCCTTAAATTCACATGCATAAAAGAAACTGCCAGCTGTTATTCTCTGGAGGATTTGAGATCTTGCTCCCCAACATATGTCATCAGTTTGGGCTCAAATAAACTCTTATAGCCCTCGCTGGTTTGGCTCAGTGGGTAGAGCGTCGGCCTGTGGACTGAAGGGTCCCCAGTTCCATTCCAGTCAAGGGCACATGCCCAGTTGCGGGCTCGGTCCCCAGTGGGGGGTGTGCAGGAGCAGCCAATCAATGATTCTCTCTCCTCATTGATGTTTCTCTCTCTCCCTCTCCCTTTATCTCTGAAATCAATAAAAATATATTTAAAAAAAATAATAAAAAATAAACTCTTATAGAAATTCTCTACAGGTTTGGACATTTTGTGTGTGAGAGTAGGAATGGTTGCAACTCCACCTTGTGCACCACTGGGTCCAGCAACCTCTGAACAACATTGCCTGCCCTATTCTCCCCTCGTCGCTGTGCAGATCAGTGGTGCCACTCTCTGACCGTGGTCTTCCAGCTGTCTGCCTGGAAGGTTAGAGGAGGCAGACAGGCAGCATGAAAGGAGCATATTCCTGAACATCAGGCCCAGCTGCTCCATCCACTTCCCAGCTGGGTGACCTTGGGCAAGTCACTTCATCTTTCTGAGCTTCATCCCAAGTGAACTCGCATGGTTCTTATGAGGAGTAAATGAAGCTGGAGGCAGAGTTTCTGGAGCATACTAAGTGCTTGATACATTTTTGCTGTGGTTGATATTGTTAATATTGTTATTGTTGTTGTTGAAATACCATTCAAACTCATTCTTTTCTGGTCAAAATTCTACTCTTCTTTCAAGATTCTGTTCACCTGTTATATGAGCCAGTATCATTTCATTGCAATGAACTAAAAAGCAGTTCAAATTGGCTTAACTGGGGGGGGGGGGGGGGGGGGGGGGGGGGGGGAGAGGAGGATCCATAGGCATGTATAAATTAAAACCCCAAGGCAGTTTCTGTTGAGGTTTGACCCAGCCTCTCTGCCTTTTGTAACTTTGTCTTCATCTTCAATCTCCACAGAGGACTCCCTCTCATCACTTGGCATCTCCAGGCTTCCCATTCATGGGAGGAGAGCGGCTACACAGTTCTAGACCACACGTCCTCCTGAGACACCTAGCAGGAAGACAAAGGAAGTCACTGTTTCTCACCAGCCCCAGCAAGCATTCCCTTGCATCACGACAGTGCCAGTTTGGATACGGGCTGCTCTCAGAGGCAAGGTCAAGGGGTAAACGGCGTGTTTCTCTCTGCTAATATATAGGGCCACCCCTGGAGGAGTGCTATCCATCCCACCCATACTGCATGCTTGAGGATCGAATGCATAGATGTTTTAAAAATGGATCAGGATACCATTGTCCTGAAAAGGGGAAATGGCTCATTTAAAAAAAAAAAAGGTGTTGGTGCTAAGGATTAACAATGGGCACCCAGAAGGACGTCCAACCCCCAAAGCAGCAGCCAAGGATATATATCTGTGGAGAATGTCAGGCAGAAAATGAAATAAAATCCAGGGATCCAATCAGGTGCAGAGAATGTGGATACAGAATAATGTACAAGAAAAGGACTAAAAGATTAGTGGTTTTTGAGGCTCGATGAACAGAATTCAGAAGAATATCTTTGTTTGCATTTGTATTTGCTGTTATTGTATAGTTTTTGATGAGTATATTTATCTTTATGAATACAACTATATACACGTGATTTCATTTTAAAAAAAACCATATTGTATTTAGGTGTCTATTATAAAGATTGTTTTTTGTTAAAAAAAAAATTAAAGGGCCAACAAATAATCCACTACATTGCCGATGTACAAGTGAGCATTTGAGGGCAGGGAGAGCATACCAGCTGGTGACTATCATGCTCCCTCCCCCACCCTTTAAAAACTGACCTTTTTTGTCCTGTTTTGTTATTTATTAATCCTCAGAGGAGGCTATTTTTCCATTGATTTTTAGAGAGAGTGGAAGGGAGGGGAGAGACAGGGAGAGTGAAACATCTATGTGAGAGAGACACATCAATTAGTTGCCTCCTGCATGTGCCCCAACCAGGGCCAAGGATCAAGCCTGTAACCAAGGTATGTGCCCTTGACCAGAATCAAACCCAGGACCCTTCAGTCTGCAGGTCGACACTCTATCCACGGAGCCAATCTAGCCTGGGCGAAAAAACTGCCCTTTTTCTTTCATCCCACCCCTTGTAACAGCTAATCCAAGCGTGTTGTTATTTAGAGACCCAGGTATATTATTAAGAACAGCAGTTGCTATACTGGGCTGTATTATAGCCTCACTCCAGGAAGCAAGCCGAACAATTTGTCTCAACATTCAAAGGCCCTAGCAGCTGAGCGTTTACAGTTCTGTCTACTTTTTATAGATCTTCTGTCTCCTCCTCACTGGCAGGCTGTGAGCTGTTTCTTCTCACTGTTTCTGGCATCTGCCTCTAGCAAGTACTCACTCTCTACCTCCTTCCCTCATTTGTCATCTGCCCAGATTTGTGAAGCTAGATGGCAAAGGTTGTTAGGAGTACGAGCCAGGTTGTCTTATGGATTTGAGGCAATAGGCTTCGCCTAAGAGCCCGAGGCCTCATTTAGGGTAAATTGTTTGGTCTTTACTAGTTTAACCTCTCTGAGCTTTGTTTTCATCGCCCGTAACGTGGGGATAATGTTTACCTACAAAGTTGGCAGGATTCAGTCTCATAGCATACTTAAAGTGTGCATCATAAAACATAATAATTGCTCAGTAAATTGCTTATTATTACTGTAGTTGTTATTATTTCAGATAAGCCACTGAAGACCGCCCAGCATGGCAGCGCACTTGAGCTTCTTGTGAGCCGAGGCAGGCCTTCCTGACATTCAGTGCCTGGAATGGAAAACTTGAGTTTAAAAACCGTCCCTGGCCTGACTGGTGTGGCTCAGTGGTTGAGTGTCAACATATGAACCAGGAAGTCACGGTTTAATTTCCTGTCAGGGCACATGTCCGGGTTGTGGGCTTGATTCCAGTATGGGGCATACAGGAGGCAGCCGATTAATGATGCTCTCTCATCACTGATGTTTCTGAATTTCTCCCCCTCTCCCTTCCTCTCTCTGAAATCAACAAAAACATATTTTTAAAAATAAATCAGTAAAATAAAGTAAATAAAAACTACCCCCAATGGAATCTCACGCTGGTGGACGTCCTGTCACGTACCCTGTTTCTTCAGATCCAGCCGACTAACCCATATGATAGCCACTTGCCACTTATGGCGACTACATTAATCAACATTAAATAAAATTAAAATGACAATTTTTCAGTCACACTGTGCTCATTTCAAGTGCTCAGTAGCCACATGTGGCTAGGGTGACCGTAGTTAGAGAGAAAAAAATACAGAACAGTTAAATTTGAATTTCAGATGAGTATGGCCCAGCATGCTATAAACATTATCTAGCTCTGGTTGGGTACCTCAGTTGGTTAGAGAGTCGTCCTGAGCCTGGCCGCAGTGGCTCAGTGGTTGAGCATCGACCTATGAATCAGGAGGTCATGGTTTGATTCCTGGTCAGAGCACGTGCCCGGGTTGCAGGCTCAATCCCCAGTGTGGGCCATGCAGGAGGCAGCCGATCAATGATTCCCTCTCATCATTGATGTTTCTAGCTCTCTCTCCCTCTCCCTTCCTCTCTGAAATCAATAAAAATATTTTAAAACAAAGAGAGAGACTCGTCCTGATATAACAAAGTTGAGGGGTTTGATCCCTGGTCAGGGCAACCAATGCATGCATAAGTAAGTAGAACAACAAAAATCTCTCTCTCTTCCTCTCAAATAAAAAAATTAAAAAAAAACACACCACTATTTCCTTTTAATCTGAAATTCAAATGTGACCGGGCATCCATCTTTTTGCCTGGCCAATAGATTGGACAGTGCAGACGTGGAACAGCCCCGTCGTTGCAGAAGTGTCCGGGTGGTCAGCACTGTTTACAACCACATGAGCAACTTGCAGCTAACGAACCCTGCCCGCTACTTCCGTTCTTCTGTCCCATGCACGTGATTGGCATGAGAACCACGAACAAGCAAAAGGATCCCTCGCTGCTGTAATAAAGTTCTTAGCCTTTGAAGCAGACTATACTAATAATCCCCATTCTTTTCATCCAGAAATTTGAATTTAATTTCCTCCTTAGGCTTTTGTTCATCCATTTATTTTCTTGTCTCGCTTTCCTACATTGCTTAATACCCCTTGTAAATAAGCCCCTGGTATGATTATAGGGGCTTCCTTTGACTTTCTAATTTCATTTTCTTCATCTGAGTAGTGAACTCAACCTTCTGAAGCATTTAAATATTTCAGTTACTCAGTTTGGTTTGTGAAAAATCATTTTTTCCCTCTCTCAACAAGAATAAGGGTTTTCCTTAAAGCTCCAATCATCTCAACCCAATTTTATATTTAGTGTACAATTTAAGCTCCCTGCAGAGATGTAAGTTCCCCAAGATAAAGATAGATAGATAGGTAGGTAGGTAGGTAGGTAAATAGATATAGATATAGATATAGATATAGATATAGATATAGATATAGATATAGATATAGATATCTATATGTATATCTCCACTGGATTATGCTGAGTGTCTATAATAGGATCTGATACATAGGAAGCCCTCAATCAATACATGTTGAATTCAATTGAATTTGCTCCTCAATTAAACTTACTAATGTTAAGAGTCTTTAAAAAATCTTTTTATTGATTTCAGAGAGAGGAAGGGAAAGGGGGAAAGTGATAGAAACATCAGTGATGGAGAGAATCATTGATCTGCTGTTCCCTGCACTCCCCGTATCAGGGATCTATCCTGCCACCTGGGCATGAGTCCTGACAGGGAATGGAACTGTGACCTCCTGGTTCATGGGTGGATGCTCAACCGCTGAGCCACACCAGGTGGGCTATTGTTGAGAGTTTTTAGGGCAGATTTCAATTTTTGTTCAGTCTCTCCATATGCCCCAGTATTAAATCAGCTCCCAATGAATGATGACAATAAAAAAATCCTGCATACTCCACGCCTGCCTCTTGAATTGTGTTTTTCTCTGATTTGTCATGTGTTCATGCAAAGTGACTGCAGCTGATTCCTGGCCCTGTCTGGATGACATTTCTGCCATTGGAGCTCAGGACCAAAATGAAAGCCTTTGGTTTCACTGGTAAACAAGATGGATACACTCAGCCCTCCCTCTGCTTTCGTTTTATTTTTTCATCTTCGTCACATTGGGCACTGTTGGAATGATGCTTTGTTTCCCACAAGAAGGAACGACTACACATAAGTCAGAATCTGACAAGTTTTACTGGTTTTGATCTTCCCAAAGCACTAGCCTGGTTTTTTACTGAGCCAATGTTCCGGAGAAATAGGGCTGCATCCAAAGGCACTCAACACGTGAGTCTGGGTTTCATCTCTTGGGACTCTGACCACATTAATCTCAATGAGTGGTTCTCAACCCTGGCTGCGGGCTAGATCAATCACCCGCGAGCTTTCTAAGCCGAGGCATTCCCAGACTTTACTCTGGAGTTTCTTTTTTTTATTGCTTAAAGTATTACAAAGGGTATTACATATGTGTCCTTCACTCTGGAGTTTCTGATTGGATGTGTCTTGAATGAGACCTAAGCTTTGGTCTTAAAGATGCTCCAGGTGATTCTGATATGCAGCTGGGGTGGAGAACTGCTTGTCTAGAGTCTAAGATGAGGCCCCTGCCTGAGTCAGGTGAACAGCAAGTGAGCATTGCAGTCCATAGCTGCAGGGGTGATGAGAGAAGCACAGTAACATTTACTGAGTCGCTGGGCACTAGGATTTGTGCCTTTTAATACGGGGTCCCATTTAAGTTTTACCACAATCTTAAAAGGTTGTCCACTGGATTGAATGGTGTCCCCTCAAAATTCACATCCCCGGGAACCTGTAAATGTGAACTTATTTTGGAAATAGGTTCTTTGCAGATGTGATTAAGTTAATCCGTGGTCATGTTGGATTCGGGTGGGCCCTAAATCCAGTGACTGGTGTCCGTATAAGAAGCAGGGATGATACACAGAGACACTCAGAGAAGAAGGCTGTGTAACGACCAAGAATGGAGAGATCCAGCTACAAGCCAAGGAACACCAAGGATTGCCAGAGTCCACAGGAGCCAGGGAAGCAGCAAGGCAGGACTCTTCCTAGAGCCTGTGGAGAAAGCCCGGGCCTGCTGACACCTTGATTCTGGACTTCTGGCCTCCAGAGCTGAGAGTCTATTTCTGTTGTTTTAAGCCACTCAGTGTGGGGTAATTTGCAAGGGCAGCCCGAGGAAATGCATACAGATTTGTATTGTTGCCATTTGAGAGATGAGAAGACTGAGGCAGTATGAACGATACAAAGCGCTCTGGTTTGTGTGGCTCAGTGGGTTGGGTGTCATGCCGGGCACTGAAATGTTGCTGGTTTGATTCCCCGGCAGGGCACATACCCGGCTGCAGGTTCCATCCCCGGGAGGAGGCATGCAGGAGGCAGTCGATCGATGTTTTGTTCTCACATTGATGTTTCTCTCTTCTCCCTTTCTCTCTCTCTCTCTCCAAATCAATAAACTATTCTTTTTTAAAAAATACATTTTATTGATTTTTTACAGAGAGGAAGGGAGAGAGACAGAGAGTTAGAAACATCAATGAGAGAGAAACATCGATCAGCTGCCTCCTGCACATCTCCTACTGGGGATGCGCCCTCAACCCAGGTACATGCCCTTGACCGGAATCAAACCTGGGACCTTTTAGTCCGCAGGCCGACGCTCTATCCACTGATCCACTGAGCCAAACCGGTTTTGGTCAAATCAATAAACTATTCTTAAAACACACACACACACACACACACACACACACACACACACACACAACCAAACCAAAATAAAGATACAAAGCAATTAGACATGACCCCCACCACCAGAAATTACACTGGGGCTCTAGGAAAGCATCGTGTGCAGATTGAGAACTTGGCTCTGGAGGAGACGGACCTAAGTAGCATCTCAGCTCCATCACTTATTAGCATATGACCTCAGGCCAGTCCCCAAGTCTCTCTGAGATACTCTGTGTTCTCATCTTCAAAACAGAGTATTCCATAGAGTTTTGGAGAGAAGTAAATGAGAAACTGTAGGAAAAACACCTTGACTTGCACGTACATGATCAGCTCTCAAAAAAGTTATCTGTTATGATTGCCATTCTTGTTAGTATTAATAACAGATGAATCTGGCTAGAATGCTTTCAAGAGGAGGAGGAAGAATCAGAATTTACTTCTAATTTTGTGTGAAAGCTTCACCCCTTAATGTGGTTCAATTGTCTTTGGTCAACAAAGTCAACTAGAGGTAAGGGAGGAGGGTTTTGAGCTCCCCCTAGAGGTGATTGTGGGCAACAAACTGAATGGGCGGACAAGGGAAGGGAAGGGAAGGGAAGAAATACATCTGTGGGCAGAACAGGAAATAAGACTGGTTAGGTGGGGACCAAATGGAAGAATCTTGAATGCCAAGCAGAGAAATTGATTTAAGACAGACAGACCATCGTTCTGGTTGGAAGGGATTGGACACGAAGTGAGCAACAGACACCTGAACTGGCTAAGTTTAAGGTTTTGGCAGTCAGAATGGAAAGAAAAAATGCAGGACAGAAGTGCTATGAAAGAGAGGACCAAGACAGGAATCGAAGGCTTGGGCTACTGGCCTGAGAAAACAGAAGAAAAATTGGGTCCTCTCTCAGAAACAGGCTAGCTCCATGGTCGGCAAACTGCGGCTCGCGAGCCACATGCGGCTCTTTGGCCCCTTGAGTGTGGCTCTTCCTAAGCCTTAGGAGTACCCTAATTAAGTTAATAACAATTGTACCTACCTATATAGTTTAAGTTTAAAAAATTTGGCTCTCAAAAGAAATTTCAGTCGTTGTACTGTTGATATTTGCCTCTGTTGACTAATGAGTTTGCCGACCACTGGGTTAGCTGAAAGGGAGAGCCAGTTTGGGAAAGAAAAAGAAAAGATAATGCGTTAGTTTTAAACAATTATAATATGAGGAAATTTGGAGTGAGGAAACCTGGATTCTGGTTAGAACCGAGCCAAATGTTAACAGTGAATCTTTCATATACTCCTTCTGGGCCCCAGTCATTGGTCTTTTAAAATTGAGGGTGTTGCCTTAAACCAAACTAGGGAAACTGGTGGCAGATGTCGTTTGTTTATTCTACAAGGGTTTTACATTTTAATTAGCTACCAACATGTCAAAATTGAAAGATTTTACAGAAAAGCCCAGATTTCTGCTCCCAGCAGTTGGCTAATGTGTCCACCCGCTGCCCCCTTTAAACTGGACATGGACATGTGGTCCCCACAGCCTCTACCATGTCCTACATACAGTCTTCCTGACACTGAGGCTGCATACCAGTTGCTGTTTGTCATCTATACCCAGCCTGCTTCACATGTAAATTACCTTCCCGGCCTCCCCTGGGCAGCTGAATAAGAGATTCTTAGCGAACAGGCTCTCTAAATCCCCTCTTAGTTCGGTAAATGTAAATTTTACCTTCATATTCAATTGGGAATACAAGTCAGTGAGAAGTCAGAGTCAGGGGTACACATTTGGGGATCACATGAGTAAAGGTGGTAGTTAACCCCTTGAGAAACACCAGGGGTGTCGATGGAGCACGTTTTCTAGAGCAGGAAACAGACTCACCATGGGACTTGACAAGGCTGCCCAGGGGAGGCAAGGCGTGGCTCTGCGTCTCTGACAGGAGACTTCTTTACACTTCAGTTATTGGGAAACAGCCTTTAACAATTCTTGTCATATTCGCATCCTTTATGAACTACCTAATTATTTAATATATTTTTAAAAAATCAAGTGACTTTTTAATCTTAAATGTAAATGTGACTTCATAGTCACCACTGAAAATGGAAAACTCATATCACCTCCTAATGGAAGGTAACTGTAAAAACTAATACAGGGAAAGCACAATTGGATTCCAGGTAGATATGTTGTTTGCTAAAAGCTCTGAACCTGAGGGCTGCTGTCAGGTGAAGAAGGAAGATTAGCAGGTGTTAGAAAGGTGCCAAAGCTTTCCCCTGGATGTCATCAGTGTGACTGACAGGAAACAGAGGAGGGAGTAACATTCTATGTAGTTTGACGTAATTTGACGCTGGAGTATGTATCACCTACAGAGATGTAAACCTGAATTATGGTCCTCCAAACATGTCTCTGTCCTAATCCCAGAACCAGTGAATGTGTTACCGTCCATAGGACACAGGCTTGGAAGAAGTGAACGAATGAAGGATTTTAAAATGGGGACATTATCCTAGATCAGTGGTTCTCAACTTTCCTAATGCCACGACCCTTTAATACAGTTCCTCATGTTGTGGTGACCCCCAACCATAAAATTATTTTTGTTGCTACTTCATAACTGTAATTTTGCTACTGTTATGAATTGTCATGTAAATATCTGATATGCAGGATGTATTTTCATTATTACAAATTGGACATAATTAAAGCATAATGGATTAATCACAAAAAACAATATGTAATTATATATGTGTTTTCCGATGGTCTTAGGCGACCCCTGTGAAAGGGTCGTTCGACCCCCAAAGGGGTCGCGACCCACAGGTTGAGAACCACTGTCCTAGATGCTCTGGGTGGGCCCCATATAACCACCCATCAGGTGCTCCTGAGATGGAAGTGGAGAAAGAGGAGGTGACCGTGGGACCCGGGAGGGAGGCAATGTGACAACAGAAGCGGAGGCCAGAGACCCAGAGAGAGCCTAGGAGATGCTACGAAGATGTGGCTTTGAAGATGTGGAAGGAGATGTGAAACAAGGAACCCGGTGACTGCTAGAAGTCGTAAAAGGCAAGAATACAGAGTCTCCCCTAGAGCCGCCAGGAGGCACGCAGCTCTGTGGACACCTTCACTGTAGCCTGGGGAACACTGTTTGGATTTCTGACCTCCAGAACTAGAATTAACTTGTGTTGTCTTAAGCCATTAAGCTTGTGGTAATTTGTTATAACAGCAAACGTAAATAGGGGCCTGTGTGAAATGTAAGGGGCTTCTTTAATTTTCCAGGAAGTCCAATTACCTTAAAAAAACCATGGTCTTTGTGAAATGTTAAAGAGGTTAAGAAAAAAATGATAGTGTTTTTGTTTTTTGGGTTTTTTTTGTACTTTCATCCTTCCAATACATTATTACTACAGTAAACAGTTTGCCATATACATCCCAGCTTTTAAATGCCTACCGGAATGTGTGTGTGTGTGTGTGTGTGTGTGTGTGTGTGTGTGTGTGTGTGAAATTCCACTGTCCCACATTCCCTTTGGGTTCTGGAGTTGTTTCCAATTCTCTTCTTCCCAGATCAAAGAGTCACACTCACCTGGCAGGGGAGGTACCATGATCACGCAGGTGGTTTCCCAGGGCGAGGCTTACCCATCGCCCTCCGGATGTGCTGACCCCTGCGATTTCCCCAAATGTGGGAGACTCGACTGCATAATGTGTGGTAGGGGGGGACTGTGTTTGCGCTCTCCCCTAAGAAAAAAAAAAGAAAAGAGTCAAATATTGGCAATTTCGTATGGTCATGTGATTCAGCCTACCATTTATAAGCAATAGTGCGATGAACAGCTTAAACACTTTGGTGTGCTCTTCAGGTCATTTCTTCAGGGTAACTTCCCAGAAACGGGTCATTCGGCTAAAGAGCGTACACATGTAAGTGCTGCTGGTGTTTGTCAGAGTGCCCTCTGTTCCCACCAACAGTGTATGAGACGCCCCAGTCCCCCCACACTTGCCAAACTAACTGCTCAGCCGTGGACAGACCAGTTCACTCTTATCAAGTACACGTGCACCCCTCTTTCTGACAGATTCTTCTGTGGGACTTTTGTATCCAGTCGCCTCTCTCTGGAGTCTTCTCCGGCGCATAGATGTACAACTGACGCCCCCAACCCTCACTGCGTAGAAATTAGGAGGCAGAAACCTGAACTTGGCTTTCTCTCGTGTCGACTGTAACAGAGTGTCCTGAAATGTGATTTCTCAGAAACATTGGCTTATATATTTAAGTCTCCTGTACATCGCATTCATTAACTTCTGAGACTGCTGTGCGTTGTGAGTACAGAATGTTATGAATAAAATAAAAGTCAGCATGAAAGGTGCCAGCCACACTGCCAAGCATTTACTTACTGAATCCCGAGAGGCAGGCATTGCAATCCCCATTATACAGATGTGGATCTTGAGTTCAGAGAGGTTAGTGGCTTGCCCAAGGTGGCATCGCCCCAGTATTAGTCATCTGTTGCTACATAACAAATTACCCCACACTTAGCAGCTTAAAACAACAAGTACTCAGTATTTTCAGCGCCTGTGAGTCAGGAGTACAGGTAGAGCTTAGCTAGGCCCTCTGCTCATGGGCTCTCACAGGTTGTGATCAAGGCGGCAGCCAGGGCTGGGGTCTCATCTGAAGACTTGAATGGGGAACCGTCAGCTTCCAAGCTCACTTACATGGTCAATTTTTGGCGGGACTCAGTTCCTTGGCAAGTGCCCTTCCCAGCATGGCAGCTCACAACATGGAAACTTACTCCATCATGCCAGCAGGAGAGAGAATACTCGAGCAAGGCAGAAGTCACATCTTAAATACCCTCATCACAGAAGTGGCATCCCATCACTCTTGCCAGACTCTGTTGGTTAGAAGCAAGTCACCAGGCCAGCCTACACTCAACCGAGAGGGTTCCATCAAGGCACAAATACCAGGAGGTGAGAATGCTTGGAGGACCTGCTGCCTGCCACAGAGATGAAATAGCAGAACTAAGATTTGCATCAGTTCTTTCAAACTCCAACGTTCCCCATAGTTAACCACTATGCTCTGCTGTCTTCCCAGACAAATCAACCTGATTCTTTCTCAGACAGATTAATCTGGTTTTTCTAATATGGATTCTAGTATTTTCTCAAATGTTTTATCCTTTTAGATTTAATCTCCCAAGTGGGCAGCTGAAAGATCCATCCAGAGTGGGTGAATTAACTAGTTCTGTGAATGTTATTTAGGGGTAACTGTAGAAAGTATGGCTAATGAAAACAAGACTTTCAAATCCTTGCTAAATCCTGACCCTTTGATACTGCACTTAAGCCTTCTCATATGGTTTGTAGGCAATCAGACCAATTTGCATAAGGATAAATACAAATTGGGCAAATGATTGGATTCAAAGCAGATAAAGCAAAACTTCCCTGGGAGCAAGAATTTTTATATTATTCATCCTATCCCTTTAACCCTCCTATTTGGAATCTTGAGTTGGTAACGAAATTCAGAATTGTAATAACTTGCTTTAATAAACATCTTCAGACTTAGCCATACATCTGTGTGTAATTTGGTTTTGGGGAGAACAGAAGTACCGGTTCATGGGGGCATCTTTGTAGGCAGAGAAATATCTTCACTTATTGAAATGTTCCTAGCAACAGAAGTTGTTTTCTTTTTTCGCCCCCAAATCCTCAAAGCAGACACAGGCAAAATGATAAGAAATGTAGAAAATTGTAGATGTGCATTAGGTTTTGTAGGGGACAATCGTGTTGTAAGGATATCTCATTGCATTTGCCCACATGAAGTCATTTTTAAAAACATGTTAATGACAAACATGGGCGAATGTGGGTTTTTTTTTCTCGAAAGCTCACTTACAGAACAGTAGGTAAATGCTATCACATTAGCCTGCCCTGGGATTGCTTTGGCATTTTAATTGCATTTCTCTTGCATGATGGTTTTCCGTTGGCTGTTTTTATATTATTCAACTCTGTGTGCATTCTGAACCTAGCCAGCTCAATTTCTTCTGGGAAGTGACAACAATCATAACATTTATTGATACATTTTATCTAACACTTAAGCTCCACATTTCCCATGCATTCTTTCATTATCTCTTCATAATCACCCTAAAAAGTAGTCACTTATCCCAATTTTACAGACAAAGAAAATGAGGCTTGAGACTCAGAGAAGTTAAGCAATGTACCCAAGGCCACACAGCTAGTAATTGGTGGGGCAGGATTGAGACTATGCTCTTTAGGCCATGCTCTACTGACACCCCAGGGTTTGGGCATACGCAATGAATGAACAAAGGAATGATCAATGAACTCAATGACAACAGGTATTACCTCCAATGGTAAGAGCAAAACATATTTTTGCAACTCTTCCACCTTCCCTTGGCAACACGTGCGACATAATAAAACCTCAGGCTTAATGGGAAGAGCGTAAACCGTGAAGTAAAACACAGCTTCGTTCCAATTCAGGTTTGCATATTTTTGGCTATGTGACAACATATATAACCTTGCGAAGGCTCAGTTTGTTCCCACAGAAACCGGGAATAATGAGCGCATTCACTTATTACCGTTGATATGAGGATTTTATGAGGATATGCCAATCAGGAACTTAGCACCATGCCTGACATTACAGGTAAATGTTTATTCATTGGTAGTTAACATGATTACCACATTTGAGACTGGATCTGTCACTTATTAATTCTGTGACCAGGAGGAAGATTCTCACGTGTGTGAATGGACATCACCCTATCTCTTTGTCACGAGGGATTGTTTGGTAATGTCTGGAAACATTTGGGTGGTCGTAACTGAGAGGGAATGCTACGTCTTACAATGCCCAGGACAGCCCCGCAACAGAGAGTTGCACAGCCTTAAATGTTAACAGCTTCAAGGTTGATAATCCCTGTTGAATGGGCACTTCACAAAAGACCTAGTGCCCGATAAATGCCAACCATTATTAGTTCCTGTCTCTTTGAGCTTCCATCTCAATCTGTGTGTTATTTCCAGGAGCCTTTTCAGCTTTAAAATTCTCTGATTGAACATAATGTGAAATTCAGCTAGGACTACATATAGGAAACAAGTAGGATATTAACATTGTTTCTGAGTGTCAAGACATGCTGAAAACAATGACCCCTTTTGGTAAAATGGAAAATTCATTTCTTTTTGATATTTGAACTTCTGTAGAAATCTTACTTTACTCTAACCACTGAAAATGGGCCTTATCAAAGTAGTTTTCCCCCTATTTTATATCAAAAGAACAACTCTAAAGAGGAACTGTTTGTTCTATCATTTCATCCCTATTTACAGGGGCTTATAAAACTCAAGGTTTTCTGAGAAAGGACATGTCCATTTCTTATTGCCTATTTTGTTCTGAAAAGTTGTGGTTATGGGCATATTTGTCTATGTTCTAAGAGTTAAAATGGTTTCTGGTCAAGAGGGCAGGGTAGGCAAATGGGGTACTTGCATTCTCTCAGAACCAAATCAAAATTACACCTAAACTACAGACCAACCATCATTCAAAACTTCCTGAAACCAGTCAGCAGGAGGGGCAGAGATGTGGAACGGCTGGTCCCAAACCCACATGTCGCAGATGAAAACCAGGAGGGATATCTCGGCTGCAGAAATACCCCCTGATGAGTGAGGGGGATCCCAGCCCCATGCCAGCCTCCCCACCCCCAGCCTAAGGTTTCAGTGCCATGAAGAGAAGCCCCCTTAACTTCTGGCTGTAAAAACCAGCGGGGATTGTGGCTGAGTGAGACAGACAGCTACTGGAGTCCCAGGCAATACCTCTTAAAGCGCCCATGCATGGACTTAGTTGGACTTACTGTCTCTGAGCTCCAGTACTAGGATAGCACCTCAAAAGGCACCAGGGACATGTGGGGAGGAAATGAAGTGTCTAGCATCAGGGTAAGAGCTGGAGGAGCAGCTTTCTCCAGGACAGAAATGTTGGCAGAGGCCATTGTTCCTCCTCCCACAGAGCTGGCAGGTGGCTGCTATATCTGAGTTTCCATGAACTTGGCTAACACTGTTCACCCAGTTCTACTAATCTCTTGAGACCCTGCCCCACCCAATTTTTGGACCCACACAAACTGTCTCCAGTGGTTTTCCCATATGAATGGCCTGTCTTGACTCATGCTTCAGACTTTCTTAAAATCTCTCAAATAAGCAGCATCTGGCCTTGGTGTGCCCCATACCTCTCTCTAAGTGGCCCCATGACTGGCACTAGTGGCAGCCTGCCTTGGCCTCCCCTGGGCATATCCAAACCCAGCACAAGTAGCAGCCCTCTGAAGATCACTTTGTAACTGCCAGATGGCCCTAGGTCAGTGGTCGGCAAACTCATTAGTCAACAGAGCCAAATATCAACAGTACAACGATTGAAATTTCTTTTGAGAGCCAAAGTTTTTAAACTTAAACTATATAGGTAGGTACATTGTTATTAACTTAATTAGAGTACTCCTAAGCTGGCCTTTTCTCAAAACATCCTCAGTCTGATTGAGGTACGTTCGCTGAGGTCGACCCCTTCCAACTCTCCCATCCACACTCGTCTTGTATACTTGTTTCAGATAGAGGAGTGTGGGTGGGAGAGTTGGAAGGGGTCGACCTCAGCGAACGTACCTCAAAACAATGTACCTCCCCCGCGCTGCGTATCCCCCAGCCCGCCTATGCCGAGTCTCCTGTCACCCGACGGACCAACACCCCCCACTTCTTCTAACGCCACTTCTTCAAAATAGACGCGCCCAGGTCGAAAA